GCTGAACCCCGGGGGTCTGCAGACCACAGGTTGAAAACCACTGTCCTAGGTCCTGACAAAGGCATGCTATGCAGCTTCCAAACAAGAGGCTTGCTCTTGCCAAGGAATGCACATATCTGGGCAAGGGAAAAACTCAACTCCAAGACAGTAAGGATCAGAGACCTCACTGGACCCAGCTTTGTGACCATTCTGATACTGGGAGAGGGAAAGGAGAAATGTTCTTTAGCATTGCTATAGTGCATTACAAAACATGCCTGCAGGGGGTAGACATGCACATAAACACCATGCAATAACATTAGACAGGCCATGGGGTTCTTCAACCAAGGTTGTACAGCCAAAATTGCAAGGCTGAGGGAAACATGGAATAAAGACTTGCTGATTCTTAGATCCATGGAGAATTTTACTGAACAGAGATTCTCCTATGAAATGGGACTAAAAGTAGACTTAGAGGGATCTGCTGAGGTCCACCAAGGGCCACTTCCCAAGTTTCACTCTGATCTCCTCCTCCTACCTGATCATCTGCTCTGCTTTCTGCTCCCCTCCTGATTTGCAGCTCTTTCTGTTTCCTTCTCTGTATTCCCTGCCTGACTTCGCTTTGCTTTCTGCTTCCAACCAATCTCTCAGTGTACTGCCGGCCCCCTCCCTGATCTGCTGTGAGCCACATGTAAGAGGCTACCTGTGTCGCAGGTTAGCCATCCCCGGGTAACAGATGAGCTCACAACTGCACCTCTAACTAAAACTCACTGCTATGTATGCCCTGTCACAAAAGGCCACCTGCCACTCCAAGCCAAAGAAACATACACTACCCTAGTTCATTCAATCATAGAAGTAGGGTAGGAAAGGACCTTGTAGATCTTCAAGTCCGACCCCCTGCCTGGGCAGGAAGAAAACTGGGCTCAAGTGATCCCAGCCAGGTAGGCATCAAGCCGCTTCTTAAAGACCCCCAGGGTAGGACCCAGCACCACTTCCCTTGGAAGTTGGTTCCAGATCCTAGCCACCCTAACTGTGAAGTAGTTCTTATGGATGTCTAATCTAAACCTACTCTCCAACAACTTGTGGCCGTTATTCCTTATCCCGAGGGCGCTAGGGAAAACAAGGTCTCCCCCAAACCCTTCTCGTCCCCCCTTGTGAGTTTATAGACGGTCACCAGGTCCCCCCTCAGCCTCCTCTTGTGAAGGCTGAACAGGTTCAGGTCCCATAGCCTCTCATTGTAGGGTCTGCCCTGTTGTGCCCGGATCATGCAGGTGGCCCTCCTCTGGACCCTCTCAATGTTGTCCACATCCCTCTTGAAGTGGGGTGCCCAGAACTGGACACAGTACTCCAGCTGCGGCCTGACCAGTGTCACGTAGAGGGAGAGGATCACCTCCTTGGACCTACTTGAGATGCACCTGTGGATGCACGATAGGGTCTGGGTTGCCCTGCCCGC